CCATTCTCAGGCTGTTTTAGCATAGAAAACCACACACACACACGTATTTGACAATAAGTGATCTTACCTTGGGTAGAAAGTCCTTGTTGAATATACATAACTGAAAAGAAAATGAATCCAACATAAGCTAGAAAGATCCCCATCATTCCAAGATGAATAAGTCACATCAGGGTAAAAAAAAAAAAGCCAAAAGTCCCCTCAAAAAAAAGAAAGAACTGATATATGAGTGTATCTATGTATCTCTAAATATATGAGCAGAAAGAAATTTGTAATGTTACAAAAAGGCTCTGTATTGTAGCCCTAGCTGCGACACTGGCAGCATTCTGCTACTCAGTGGAGTCTTTTTCTTTGAGAAGAGCGAGTATTGCAATACAGTGTGGTTCAGATGAGCTGTCTCAGGCGCTGTGTTGCTTGAAGTCCAGATTCAGACTAAAAAAAACACAAACCGTTGAAAAGTGGGTATCAGCTGCCTTCTGTGCCTTTTTTCAGCTACCTGGCAGCTTCGTCCAACGTCAGCTCTTGCTGCTCAGGATGGCGTGATGACTGCCCTCCCTGCACACTGATCCAGCTTGGGAAGAGAGGAGTTGGGGAAAGAAAGGGGGAGGGGGGGGAATAGAAGTATACTGTGCTTGTATTGCTTCAACTTTTCCCTCTAATGGCTGCGATAATGCCTTTAACCCTTCCCTCTCCCTCCCTGTTCTTTACACCTCTATACCTGTTCTGACTTCTACTGGCTCTGACGCTGGGGTAAAGCTGTGTGCATTTTTTGTGGTTTTTTTTTTTCTTTTCCCCCATAGTGTACAGCTTATGATTGTAGAGAGAGCAGGGAACCTTTATTGTACTGATGTAATTTTCCGTCTTACATCCAAAAACACTCAGTGGCTAAGAGGGCAATGCAGTGGTTTGATTTTTGGTGAGTTAAGCTGTTTCTGTTTTCTGCTTTTCTCTCCCTCTTACAGGGTCTGAGGGGAAAATAGTTACTTGATAATCCTATTGCACTCGCTATTGCCTGCTCCAAATAACTGTGCTTCTAGCATCTTGCATTAAAATGTTCTTCATTTTGCCTTCAAAGACAGATAAAGAGGATGATACTTAGAGTGTGCTTTGGTGGCATTATACAGATTTTTACAGAAAAAAATATTTAGCTAGATAAAAATGGATTTTGATATCTTTCAGATTACTCATAGTAATTTATATATATGTACACCAGAGAAGGGGTTTACAGCATATTAAGGAATGCTTCCTCCTGCAGTGAATTTTTCCTTCCCTCTTCCCTCTTTTCTACCTATGTATATTAATAATGTTTAGACAACAGACTAACCTTGACTGTATTAGATGTTCAAAACACCCTGAAACATCTGCACTGAGGGAAGTTCTCTGACTGAAATCATCATACTGCTTGTAGTAAGAAGCCATCTAGAAAGTGCTTGTTGCACTAAGCAATCACCAAATACCTTCTCAAGGCTGAGACAAAGACTAAATAGAATCTGAAAAGAGCACCTGATAATCACTCAGACTGCCAAATAGCTGAACTTAACTGCTAATCACAAACTGAAAAAAGCTACAAGCCAAATTAAAGAGAGTTTTATCTGCATGAGCAGTATGTTTTTCTGGAACAGGACAAGTTCTGTCATTCCTGGCAATGGGAGTGCAGCAGTTCCACAATGGTACACAAGACGCAACTTTCACCTTACTGCACCAACCAAATTATTGCATGCATACAAGACATCTGATATAGCTGCAGAGATCTCTTTCACAGAACTAATGCCGTCTGACTGGAGAACAATTTTTTGTCTACATTTCAGCATTTATTTTTGCAATAATTGCATGAGGTCCCATCTTTATTTATGAAAAAAGGGAACCATTTCCCTATGGTAATAGTATATTCCACTGATGTCATATCTTAAGCATAGCAATACTTCTGAGTATAAAAGTAGTATAATAAATCAAAAACAATTTAAATTATTAAAATGATCCCCCAAATTGGAAAATAGTTATGATACCTGAAAAACTTCCTATTATCAGAGAGTTTTAATTACTTTAAAGGAGGTCATGATGGATATACTTAGAACCAAAGAAAGCCTGTAAAACGAAAGGAAAGCACCAGTCTTTTGGTGATGGACCTACATTATCTGAAATTGCCAATGACTGTCAGTGATTCAATGATTAGACATAGACTGTAGAGGTCTTTATAGGTTCAGATGGTGAATATTTCAATAATTTCTGTAAAAGAAATTGGTTCCTTTTCAGATGGGTAGCCAAAATCCCAAGTCACTCCTGAAAAAAAAGGCTGTTTATAGGATTCACTTCAAACCCATATACGTCATCAGTAATCAGTTGAAATTACAAATTAGAGACATATTATCAGCAGCCAAGTTAAATGTAAATTAGACAGGAGGAAAAAGAATCTAAGCAGTATCACCTGGTTTAGAAAGAAAGGTGAAAACAAAAATAGATCACTTTTTTGTCTTTTTCTGCCTATTCCAGTTCAAGAGACTTGATAGGTAAATTTAATTTTATCAATTTGTAATTTAGAAATAAGAATAATTCAAATACATTGTAGTCAATGGAACTAATGAAATCTTAAATTACTGTCACAGGGACATACAAAATAATATATATGTTTATTAAAATATCAGAACAGAGAATGTTTTAGAAAATGGATTTAATGGAAAGACTCCTAAAACTTGGTTACATGTTTATTATTTTTATTTTATCCATGTGCTGCAACAAGCCATATGATTATGTCAAGTACTTCAAGCAGAAAACAGAAATAATCCATCCCATGGTATAGTGTTAAATTTCACCCTGATGGATGTGACTTCTCCACAATCAACCATGCTATATGAATCTGGGCAGTGAATGTGTCTAGTTACCTTGTGTGAAATATCTGCCTTTTGTGCTATAGAAAGAGTTTTCACGTAGCCTAACTCAAGTGAGAAGTATGAGCTGTGCTTTATAACACGAACTATATGGTTTATGTGAGCTTTCTACTGCCTTTTTTTCTCCCTTTCAATGATTCTAACACATAAGTCATCACTGGACACTCTCAGGTCATCCATGCACAGGGGAATGACATTTCAAACATGCCAACGAAATAGAATAATGGAAGACCCATTTATGTTGCCTTGGACCTGAATTATGTAGATGTTTCTGTATCTTATTACTACTTCAGTACACGTTCCAGATCAGATGCTCCTTCAAAACCATAAATGGCCATGCATGTTCACCACTCTGCCCAGCTTACAGACCTCAAGTCTATGCACCTGTTGTAACTGATAAGAGTCATTATGGATGTTATTATGATTTGAAGCTCAATAAAAGTTTAGAAATGAAAGCTATTGTGCTGCTAGTCAGCAATAAGTTTGGAATGATTTGGTCCCAGAAAGATATGGACTGGTACAGGCTGCCTTGCCCTGCAGGAAGGTGGTTAACTGATGACTTATCTCTCTGCATGAGACCATGGCTGAGTGTTGCTATCCAACAAGCTCAGTTAAAAATGAAAACAAAAAAGTTACCTTTATCTTATTTTGATTGTTTCATATTTTAAGCTTTTTTTCATCATTTTTTTCAGAGATTTCTTTACCTTTCAAAGGGAAATTTTGTATTATGTGATGAAATTTTTGAATTATAAAAGTTAAAAAGGACATAGGTTCTCTTCACTGATGACGGCTCTTTGGTTTTGTTAACCCAAGTGCTCATATAAGCCTCTTCCAGCATGTCACTGTTGTCTCTTTCCAACACTATCACTGTATCTTTGCTATAAGTAATTAAAATATATAGGAGGTCTACGAACAAGCTTGATTGGTAACTTGGAAAATACCAACAAATTAATCACTTTTCAGAGTTTCTAAACTTGAAATTTTAGTACAGCTAGTAGCAGAATAACTGAACAGTAATAGTTTTGGCAGTAATTTGGCAAAAAAACTGGTGTAGGGTAAGCTTTCAAACCTGAGAGGACCAGTGGGACTTCTTACACAACTGCATATTTATGCAGTTTAAGGAGATAGCACATGCACAGAATTATCAATATCCAAACTAGGGAGAGCCTTGGCTATGCTCAGAGAGTGTGTAATCTTTGAAGACAGAAAAATCTAAACAAATTTGTACATTTTATGTACTTTTGGGACAAGAATTTCTCATATCTGTGTAAGTCACCATGGGCTCCCAGAAACTTTAATGCAGTTGACAGTTATGTCATGATGAAACTAACACAATAATCTTAATCATGACAGAGAATAAATGTATAATCTTTCAAAACTAGTAGCATTTGAGACACCTACCAATCTGAAGAATACTTGCCAAGTGATGCTTTTTATTCCCTCAGTGAGATTGCTTGTTCTGATTACTGCTCTGCATAAACACAAGTCATACTCTCCATGCTCATAGTTTGTAGATGTATTCTTTTGTGAAGCTAACCATTTGGGCTATGATGTTTATATGTTAGCTCTGACTTTTATGGTTTGAGGGAGTGGTTATGTCTGGGGTTTTTTCCTCCACTTTTATTCAAATGTACATCAACTATCTGTGACACCAACAGTGGAAGAGGAGGAGATTATAATAAAGGTCAGAAATCAATTCTATTTTACCTTTAAGATCTTTTATTTAAAACACACTTACATTCTAACTCTTCAGATCAGGAACATGATATTTTATAGAGTTATGATTTGTGTCTGGACATTTCACTCTCGTGTAAATTGCTGCACATTTGGCCATATTCAAAGATTTGAAAAAATAGGGGCTGCATTTGCTCAATAACAGCTCATATCCCCTAGCAGCCCATGTTCATTCATTGTGCCTAAACTCCTCACTGCTCAATAACAGCTCATATCCCCTAGCACCCCATTCATTGTGCCTAAACTCCTCACAGCCTTGAATACTGACTTAGCACATATATGGCATCTTCACAGAGTGAACAGAAATGCAAAGGGACTAGCTGCACCAAACCCCCTGTGATTAGAATCTGAAGAAACAGGAGAAAGATGAGAAAATGATTTGACAACAAGATGAAACACCAATGAAGGAGATAAAAGTTAGAAAATGTCATAATGAAGTTTGTCTGTTATCTTAATTAATTCCTTCCATTCACTGGCAATTTTGTTCTACTTCCGGTGAACCCCTCCTATTTTTAACCTGGACTCTTACCTCACTCAGTAGACAAAATTCTGCTAGTCTGGGAATGGCTTCTTGCTTAGGCCTAGAAAGTAAAAGATGCCATTGGATATGGTACTTATTTTTAATAAGTATTGGAAGAGAAAGGATGCCTTCCTCTCAGGGCAGCTAAATTCTGGCTTGGAGAAGCAGAGTCCCTGACCACCGGAGTTCCTTAGCAATACTTCACAGTCCCTTACATCAGATGTTTTGCAGAGGGTCAATAACAGGGTGCTTGTCATTTCTGAATGCCCACCTCAGGATTCTGAAGGCTGAGATGAGGAAGCACTGAGTAGTCACAGCTGCAATTAAACTGAATGGGTGCTGTGGTTGAAGGTGCAAATGATCATAAAATGTCACCAAAAAACACAGCCTAGGCCCTGGGTAGCTCAGCACTGGCTGTTGTCTG